GAGAGTAGCCATGGCAGCAGAAGTAGCAGCACTCAAGCGCCACGAACCCTGGAATCTGGTTCCACGTTCATCTACAAAGGGGAGAAATATATAAAGTGGAAAATGGGTCTTCTGGATTAAAACGCTTGCGGACGGGTCAATCCACAAGTATAAAGCAAGATGGGTGGTGCGCGACTTCGAGCAAACTCACATGGTGGATTATGATCAGACCTTCGCACCGGTCGGATGGCACACCTCGGTGCGCATTCTCATCTGCATCGCAGCCGTCAAACAACGACCGCTTCGCCAAATCGACGTCTCGAATGCGTTCCTCTACGCAATCGTCGATGCCATCATCTTCGTCGAGCAGCTGCATGCCTTCGAAGAAGATAGCACCGCCGTCTGCCTCCTCCAGAAGTCCCTCTACGGCATGAAGCAAGCACCTCGACTATGGCAGCAATACCTAGACACGGTACGCATTGAGCTTGGCTTCGCTCAGCTACCACACGACCAAGGCATGTACGGGAAGGAGTCGTGAGGCAACTTCATTCTCCTAGTCGCCTACGTAGACAATTTACTCTACACTGGCAACAACGCGGACCTCCTCGACCACTTCGAAGAAGAGATCAAAGAATAGCTGGAAGTGACGATCAATCACAACGCCACGCAATTCCTGGGTCTCCACGTCACCTCCGTCCATCTATCCACTGCCAAGTACGCGGAAACTCTTGCGAAGAAATTCGCGATCGCTCCAATCAACCTAACCACCCCCTTCCGCACGCCTCCTCCTAATCATGAACCCGACACCACAACGCTCTCCATTGACAATCATCGTCTCTACCAACAGCAATCATCACCTCCTGTTCGCCGCCGTCACGTGCCGGCCGGATCTCTCCTACGTCGCAAGCCAGCTTGCACAGTACATGCGCCGACATGAAGGGGAGAACATGCTAGACATACGCCGAGCACTTCAATACTTCATCTCTACTCCTGACGTCGGACTCACCACACGGCCAACCTAACAGCTACTCTTCAGCTACGCGACGATGTAGATGCGGACCATGCGGGAGATGTTGACAACAGACGCTCCCGCACAGGCTTTGTTTTTCAGCTCGAGCCTGCTGGACTCATCTCCTAGAACTCCCAGAAGCAGGAGGTCATCGCTCTTTTGTCAGCCAAAGCTGAATTCATCGCCGCCAGCTCAGCTGTTCGCGAAGGCCTGTACCTGATGGAGCTCCTACAGGAAGCGAAAGTGACGATGTACGGGCACTTCAAGTTACTCTGCGACAACCAAAGCGCGATAAAGATCGCGGACAAGCCCGGCTTCGTGAATCGCACAAAACACATCGCACTCCGCTACTTCTTCCTCAAGGACGAGATCAACAAAGGGAAAGTCAAACTCACCTATTGCCCGACTGGTCACATGGCAGCGGATTTTCTGTCGAAGAAGCACTGCATCAACCTCTGCGGGATCTCGAAGAAATCCCACATGGCTCGCCTTCAGTAATGAAGGGCAGTGTTGGAATAACCGAAGGGTTATTATAACATTCCCGAAGGTTCTCCTTAGCGCACAGCTTCATAACAACGCAGCGCACCTGTATCAGTATCGCGTTAGCTCATATAGAGCACGCGAAGGTCAAGCACGAGAAGGTCAACAGTCGAAGGAAGTCAACAGTTGCGACTGTTAACCACCCATTTTGGTAACAAAGGTGACAATATGGGGCAGTCAAATTCGAAAGACTTATGTATGAAGCCTAAGCGACGGGAAGTTACGAGGCCCATGTTTGAAGTGATCTTCCTCCTACCCTTATGCCATAAAAGGGCCAAAGTCTTGTAGAGCCACCAATATCTGTGCCGTATACAACCACTTCTCTCATGCATCACAAACTTTGCTTACACCCACTACACAAAATCCCTTACGCACTCATACGATAGTCCGCTCGCGCACATCGCCTTCAACAACACAAACCCCTCCTGGCAGCCACGAAGATGCCATGTTGATCAGGGCAGCCAGCTGCTGCAGCCCATCATCCGACACTGCTGTGCCACGCAGCCAAAGTCCCTCTGAATGCGAAGATTCCATGTCAGCCTCCCCACATCCACACAACACTCATCACTCCCTTCCGGCTAAACGGCCATGCCTGGGAGTGAGTGAGGGATAAGTGAGAAGACGGCTGTACAATGAAAGTGGAAATAGGAAGTTAGCATGAAGAATGTGACCGGTGATTGGGCTGGGATAGTGGTTGGGAAAGTGGGAATGGAAATTTGAGTGGAATGGCAAGCCACACAAGCCCTTGCATACATGCCTGTTTCCCAACCCCGTCTCCATTTGTCTCTCTTTGCTGGGCGCTTACCCCCACCCATACTAGGACGCTAAAAAGACGCATGGGTGGGCAGGTAAAAAGAAAAAGGCGCAGGTAGAATAAAGGTTTACAGAGGGGGGGAGGGGGTTTGGGGACATGACATGCCTCATGCTCCACCCACCGTGCCATCTCTGCCCCACCGTGCCGTACATCATTCTCTCGCCCCACCTCCCCACTGGCTAGCCTGCATGCTGCCCCCATTCAGTCACAGCCCCCATCCACTCGCTGCCCTCCCCTCACCTCCTCCGCCGCTGTCACGAAACTGCTGCTGCTGCAGTGGTGGGGGACAGCCCCCCCACCACCAGATCGCCCCACTGTGTGTGGTGGGGATACTGTCTTCAGCCCTGGAGATAGGGGGCAGGGGAGGGGGGTAAGAGGACAACAAGGGAATGCGTGCCGTGCCGAGATGACAGTGGGTGGGGCATGAGTGAGCTGGCTGGCCTGTGCAGTATGCGTCGCCAGAGTTCTGAGTGCGTCTGATTGCATCTGATTGCATCTGAGTGCGTCTGAGTTCGTCTGAGTACGACCATGTCAAACATTGTATGTTTACTTTGTGTAGGCTATAGTGGGTTTAGCCTTAGGGGGTACAACAAACTTAGGGTTTCCTACTTGTACCCACCTTTCTGCTAGTTTCATCATTCTCGTTCAGTTCAACATTTTAACAGACCATCAGTATTTTTCGGAGCGGGTTTCGAATGAAGCAAGCCATTCTGAGTAGAACTCGTACGTCCCAATGTAATCCGCTGCTTATGCAAGGTGAGATTCGTGCATGGCATGCAAGGTGCTTGGAGAGAGGATGCACGTGTAACTGCGAGCTCGCATGCTATCCTTCCACACGATCCTATTGTTCTTAGGGCACAGCGCAGGTGCATCGTGAGGCGGGGTCAACGTGCCGACTGCCCCACGACAGCGACACGCCTTCCATCGCACTGCTACGGTCTCCGCGTTGCCTTCGTCGCCGTTTCCCCGCTACGCTGCTCCTCCGCCAACAACAGCCGTCAGGCAAACTACGAGCTGCTCGACGGGCAACGTGCGATTCGCTCAATGATCGATGAGTTGTGCCTCGCTGCTCTTGGTGCAACGGCCTCCGCGGCTCACGAGAATCGAGGGCGTGACATCAACAGCTACTAGGTGGGAGATGAGAATGGGCAAATGAGAATGGGCTGACAATGATGGGAAGATGGTTGTGGGGAAACAACAATGACAGCATGGTTGTGGGAACATACCATGCGTTGGGATGATGCCAATGTGTTACTGACAAGAAAAAACATGGCAATGGGAAAACAACAAATATGACGGGGGTGTGGAGAAATGACAAAAGGACCCTGACAATAAGATGATGAGAGGGAAATAAACAAGTGCAAGTTGAAAGAGGGAATACGTGGCATGGTGCATGGTATTGCATGGTAAGATGTGAGAGCATGGAGTCGGTGACCAGGAGGGCACAGCATAGGCACGGTGAGCAGATATGAGCAAATTCCCAAACCCCTGTTCGGTTCGAGTCGAACACGTTCATATCGAACCAAACAGGGGTTTTTTTTTTTCCCAAAAATGTTTGTAACAAACACTTAGGTGTTTGTCACGAACATATTCGACTGTTCGAGTGTGTTCGTGCAAACAAATGCACGAACACCAAGGTGTTCGCCGAAATCCAGCACGTCAAATTTTTACGCGCAGCTCATTCTTGGGCTCAATCGTCGATTTCCAATAAGGATTGCTTTCCGCCCACTACCCACTTAAACTGCACCATTCCCACGGTTTAAAGTCCACATTACGGCTAGAAGCGTTAAGTAAAAGGGTAGATTAGGTTAGGAAACGGTTAAAAACAGAAATATTGAGCATTTAGATTTAGCAAAGAGTTTAGCAAGGCGAAATTGATTCCCATCAGATCTGCGCCAAACCTTACTATAACTATTGTAGGGTTTAGTTAAAGTGAAGAACACCTTGTTTTCCACCGTTTTTTGGCTAGGCCATTATGGATTCCAAAATGGATGATTTAGGGTTGGGTAGCAGCCAAGACAAGGCCATTCCTGGCCCATCCGCACTAGTTACTGCAACTGGGACCGCAAGCCCTCTCGCACCTCCCGAACTCATAGGGGGAAAATACCTAGAAGTCCACACATCACCAAAAAGCTACAGGCTTAGTGGCGGGGGACTGGCTGCACCCTCACATCGGTATGGGAAGTCTCGTGGTGAGATCGAGGAGAATTCAAAGGAGGCCGAGGAGGATGCAGAGAGGGGGGGGGGGAAGGTCAAGGGTGGTGGGGAGGGGGGGGAGAGGGGGGGGGGGGGGAGGGAAGCCAAAGGGATTGGCTGGAGAGTGGCGGCTGGAAAAGAAGCGCCCACGCATCCGACGTAGTCCATCCGATAGCAATGACAAGCATTATGACCCGAAGAAAGATGGGGAGGGTGCGGGGGTGGGGGATGACGACGAGGAGGAGGAGGAGGAGAAGGGGGAGGAGGAGGAGGAGGAGGAGGAGGGGGAGGGAGAGGGTAGTGGTGAGGAGGATGCAGAGGAGGAGGAGGAGGAGGTGTCCCAGCCGGGGAAGGCCAAGGGGAAGGCCAATGGGCAGGGGAAGGGGAAGAAGAAGGGCAAGGGTAAAGGCATACAAGGTCAGAGGGGGGGGGGGGAAGAGGATGGTGTGGCCGCGTCGGTAGATGAGAATGATGACAAAGGCCAAGAAAGGGGATAAGAAGGCCCCGGGTTGGCAGGTCCAGATGTTTGGGCCATTGGGGGCGGATGAGAAGCGCAAGTGTAAGATGTGCGACACCCGCATCTGTTGGTCGACGGGCACTACCACTCCAGGGGTGCGCCACATGGTTGCGAAGCACACGGCGCACCACGATATTTGGGAGTATAGGTCCCTAAGGCTTCACTTACTGGCTAAGGGGGAGACCTTCCCGGAGGGGGGCTACGATGGAGTTCCCGACAAGAAGGTGAAGAATTGGCCACACGTGGCCTCGTGGCCCAATGTCACGGCGTTGCAGACCCCGAGCGCGAAGAGCGAGGTAGGCGGCATTGAGCGCTTTGTTATGGCGAGGCTGAGTAAGATGAAGCTTCGTGCGGCGATCAGGAAGCTTGTGGTGACCGGCGACTTGCCCTTTCGCAGAGTCGAGCTGGATGCGGTGAGTAAGCATTCACCTCCTCACTTGTACGCTGCGCTTAGGTAGATTGAGATTGCTGGCCGCACGTGCTACTTCATTGCAGTCCAGACATGGCATCAACGCTGAGGATGCTCGCACGCCATCATGTTTGCTTATGAGAAACGGTCACCCATGCAGCACATGCCATGCCCCTATTACCGAATTGCTGTCCACCATATTCAACCCTCCTCGTGCTTGTATATACAACCCCAGTTCAAGGAGCTGCTGATCTTGCTGAACGAAAAGTGTGGGGAAAAGGGCGTGATCCCATCACGCTAGACGGTGGCGCGCGACACCGTTGTCCTTGCTGACTTGGCGCTCGAGGCGGGCCTCTACAACCTGTGCCGTGTCGTACAGCACCGATACGTGGACAGGCCCGAACGGCAAGGCTTACATGGTGCTGACAGGTCACTTCGTGTCGGAGCAGTGGGAGTTGCGCCAGGTGATTCTTGCTTTCGTCGAGATGCCTGACGGGCATGTGGGGAAGGATATCGCTAAGGCGGTGGAGAAGGTGGTGGAGCAGTGGAAGTTGCAGACGCGTTGCCTCGGTCTCACGACCGACAATGCGTATGCAAACGTCGTTGCTCTTCGGCACCTCTCAGAGGAGGGTGCCTTCTCGAGGTACTTCAGCGAGAAGGCTCACTACAGGTCGGGTTTGTAGGCAGATTCACATGTACTCTCTCCCATCAGCATCGACTAATGCTAAACTTTGTCTCTCTTGCTTCCGTTCGCACCTCAACACGTTTGTAACCACATTCGCTTGTTTGAGACATGTACCCCTCCAATCTAATGCAGGTGCCTGTCGCACATCGTGAACCTGGCAGTGCAGTCTGGGCTGGGTGTGGAGTCGATGCAGGTGCCCCTGAAGAAGGTGCGGGACATTGCCTCATGGGTGGGCATGTCGCCCAAGCGAGGAGCCACCGTCATAGCGCTGCAGGTTCGGCATGGACCGCTGCCCAATGGGCCGCACAAGCTCGTTCAGGATAGTCTTGTGCGCTGGGGGTCCACACACGAGATGGTTCAGCGCTTCCTGCTGTTGAGGCCCTTCATCGACATGCACTTTGCCCGCGAGAAGGTACGGCTCCATTCGAATCCATTGCAATCTTGGTTGATTCATCGCGTTAGGGCTTTTGCTTTGAAGATTGCCAGAATCTGTTGGGCGTCCAACCGTTCCGCAAGTCTAAACACATGACGTACTCAATGTCATCCCACCCGCTCTTTCACACACACCTAATCAACAGGGCACCACGAAGGCTGAGAAGAAGAAGTGGCGAGATCTGCGTCTGACCGTTGCCGAGTGGGAGGTCTTGGGGGCTTTGGAGGGGTTTCTCCGTCCCTTTGCCAGAGTCTCCACGACCGCCGACGGGTCGACCTACCCCACTGTGTCGATGGTGCTGCCATACTTCAATGCCCTCATCGACAGCCTGGAGAAGAAGCTGCAACAGGCATGCATGAACTAGTTCGTCCACTCATGGCTGCCACGCTGCAGCACCTGAAGAAGTACAAGTTTGCCATCAGGGAATAATACTGGATCGCGACCTTCTTGGATTCGTCCATGAAAGCAAAGTACTTCAGGATGACACACTGGGAGCTTCAGCATTCACTCATAGTGGCATGTGAGGGTGGGCGGCTTAAGCCATGTATGAGTGCGGACATGGTGGTGAGCTTGGTGCGACGCTGAGTGGAGGAGTACCAGGCTCGAGCAGCACGTGATGCTCCCACCCCACCTCCAGCACCACCAGCAGCAGTGGTGACACTGTCCGAGGACGACGACGACGTGTTCTCTAGGGCGCAGCTGCAGTAGCGTGTTTCAGCTAGTGCAGCGGCGAGAGCGGGGGGAGGGGGGACGTTGGTGGGGGATGAGGTGGATTGGTACTTAGCGGAGTTGCCTGTCTCGGACGTGCCAGCGCTGCAGTACTGGCAGCGTGTGAGGAACATGGACACGCTGAGGCAGATGGCACGGGATTAAAATCATTAAAATCTACAAAGACACTAATCTGTTATAAAAATATGCCTACGTATTGTGTTTATAATATAGTAGATGCTTGAATGATGAAAATTTACCTTGTCTAGAACAACAAACGGGCGTTGATTTCGCACCACGAAATAGCACAGGCCTATCCTTGCACAATTCTCCCTGCTCACCTGTTTGGAACATCATATCTCCCAACCAGGCCCGGCGAATTACACGAAACCTGTATGGGTCGCTTAGAATATAGTAGATTCTTGAATGATGGAAAGAAGCCTTGTTTAAAATAGCAAACGGTTGTTGATTTGGCACCACGCAATAGCACAGGCCTATGCTTGCACAGTTCTCCCTACTCGCATGTTTGGAACATCATATTTCCCTACCAAATGCGGCGAATGACACCAAACCTATCCAGCACGATTAGAATATAGTATATGCTTGAATGATCAAAATAAACCTTGTTTAGAATAACAAACGGACGCTGATTCGGCACCACGTAATAGCACAGGCCTATCCTTGCACAGTTCTCCCTGCTCGCATGTTTGGAACATCATATCTCCCTAACAAACGCGGCGAATGACACCAAACCGGTCCAGCACTCTTAGAATATAGTAGATTCTATAATGATCAAAAGAAACCTGGTTTAAAATAACAGACGGGCGTTGATTTGGCATCACGTAATAGCACAGGCCTATTCTTGTACAGTTGTCCCTGCTCGCATGTTTGGAACATCATATCTCCCTACCAAATGCGGCGAATGACACCAAACCTGCCTGGCACGCTTAGAATATAGTAGATGCTTGAGTGATAAAAACCTTGTATAAAGTAGCAAACAGTTGTTGATTTGGCACCACGTAATAGCACAGGCCTATCCTCGCACATTTCTCACTGCTCGCATGTTTGGAAAATCATATCTCCCTACCAAAGGCGGTGAATGACACCAAACCGGTCCAGCATGCTTATAATATAGTAGATGCTTGAATGATCAAAATAAACCTTGTTAAAAATAACAAATGGGCGTTGATTTGGCATCACGTAATAGTATAGGCCTATCCTTGCACAGTTCTCCCTGCTCGCATGTTTGGAACATCATATCTCCTTACCAAACGCGGAGAATGACACCCAACCCATCTCGCACGCCTAGAATATAGTAGATGCTTGAATGATCTAAAGAAACCTTGTTTAAAATAGCAAACGGTTGTTGATTTGGCACCACGCAATAGCACGGGCCTATCCTTGCACAATTCTCCCTACTCGCATGTTTGGAACATCATATCTCTCTACCAAACGCGGCAAATGACACCAAACCGGTCCAGCACGCTTACAGTATAGTAGATGCTTGGATGAGCAATAGAACAAACGGGCGTTGATTTGGCATCATGTAATAGCACAGGCCTATCCTTGCATAGTTCTCCCTGCTCGCATATTTGGAACATCATCTCTCCTTATCAAACGTGGCGAATGACACCAAACCCGTCTGGTACGCTTAGAATATAGTAGATGCTTGAATGATCGAAAGAAACTATGTTTAAAATAGCAAACGGTTGTTGATTTGACACCACGTAATAGCCCAGGCCTATCCTTGCACCGGTCTCCCTGATCGCATCTTCGGAACATCATTTCTCCCTAATTGATGCGGTGAATGACTCCAAACCGGTCAGGCACGCTTAGAATATAGCAGATGCTTGAATGATCAAAAGAAACCTTGTTTAAAACAACAAGCGGGCGTTGATTTTGCACTACACAGGCCTATCCTTGCACGGTTCTCCCTGCTCGCATGTTTGTAACATCATATTTCCCTACCAAATGCGGCAAATGACACCAATCCGGTCCGGCCCGCTTAAAATATAGCAGATGCTTGAATGATCAAGAGAAACCTCCATAAAATAACAAACGTGCGTTGATTTGGCACCACGTAATAGCACAGGCCTATCCTTGCACAGTTCTCCCTGCTCGCATGTTCGGAACATCATTTCTTCCTACCTGATGCTGCGAATGACACCAGACCTGCCCAGCATGCTTGGAATATACTAAATGCTTTCATGAACAGAAAAAACATTGTTTCAAATAACAAACGAACGTTAATGGTACCATGTAGTAGCACAGGCCTATCCTTGCACAGATTCCCCTGATCTCAGGTTGAAACAACATATCTTCCTACCAGATGTTGCGAATAATATCAAACTTGACGAGCATGCTTGTAATATAGTAAATACATGAATGAGTATGAGAACTCCTTCAGGTAATAACAGAAAGACGTCGATACGGCACCACGTGTCGCGCATGCCTATCTTTGTGCGTTTTCCTCTCCTAGAGTGTTCTAAACAACATAACTACAATGCTTATGACTCATAAAATATATTAAATGCTTTTATTAGACTCAGCACATTACAACGTCGTGAAACGCTTCACGCATGTGTAGAACGTCGACTACGACGAGATGTACGCGCCGGTCAGGAGCTACGTCCCGCTGAGGATCTTCCTTAGCATCGTCGCCGCTCGACGTCGTGCTCGCACCTATTTGTGACCATTTGTGATACTTGTTAGGGCTAAAATTTGGTGTTTAGATGAAATAGGTTAGTAGCAGGGATGTTACACTGTTCCGAGTGCGCTGTATATTCTTCATTCCAGCGCAACCCTGTTGGTATTTTAGTCATCGTGCGAGTGTTATGTAATTGGTGTATATTCATTTTCACGGACCTTGTTGGCGATAAGGTCTGTTGTGATTGGTCCTTTATCGCCAACACGCTGGGTTCAACGAAAGCTGGTTCGCTGCTGCACGCCTTGCGCAGTTGCGCTGGATTTTTCAACACCAACGCAGCTGCTCAATTGCTGGTTGATGCAGCAATTGTGCCTTGCGCAGTTGCGCTGGGTTTGGCAACTCAGCGCAACTGCTCAATTGCTGGCTGCCGCAGCAAATGCACATGGCGCAGTTGCGCTGAATTTCGCAACAGCAGCGCAACTGCCAATTGCGCGCAGGTGCCAACAGCACAACATCGCAATTGCTGCAGCTGCCAGCAGCGCAATTGCTGCATCAACCACTGCGCAATTGCTGGAACTGCCTCCAGCGCACCCGGCGGCAGCTTCCCCAACACTTCCGAACAGCCAACTCCAGCCCTACACTAGCGCACTCTCCCCCCATAGCACCACACAACCCACTCAATTCTCCGTTCTCTCTCTCTCCTCACTTCCGTCATTTTTGTAGTTGCTTTTCAAGTTTTCTTCCCCTCCTTGGCGTCTATCGCTTTCCTGGTTCAGCAGCTTTTTTCTGCGCATACCTTCAGGCCCGGTTTTATACTCATGGCGCTGTGCCTCCCCACCTTACCGGTCGCGACTGCTGTAGTATAGTATCGAGTTACAGGTAGTTTTTTGCTCAGCATTTCCTATTGTTTCTGTTAGCATATACCCTGCGTGCTAACTCTGCTAACTATATCTCGTTAGTTCTCATTCTTGCAGGTATTTGGACCCTTCTATCCAGAACACTTTTAACCTGCTAACAGGGGTTGCATTTATTGACCGTGTTCTTGCAGGGCTTAAATTCATACTGGCCGTTTCTGTACGGTAAGTCGATGTGTTCATTGGCTCCTTTTTTCGCTCCCTTCTAATGTCTAACAAGTATGTGGTAGCTGAAATAGCATTAGCTATGGTATGCAGCAGTTCTGGTTTTTAGCCGCAACATCAGAAGCTGTGACAATGGTGTGGTACCACCAGCTGCGTTCTACAAGTAAAGCTTAGTACGGTGTGTCCCTTGTATATTCAATTCTGTAATATAATCAGATACTAAAAAATAATCTCTATTGATCTCTGGAAACTATTGTCACAAGTGCAATGTTGGCTACAAGCTGACCAAACAACTGAATTATTGGACTAAATGTAGACCATAATGGTACGAAATTGAGTTCAGGTTTAGGACAAAAATAGTTTCCAGAAAGTACCTAGCTTGGACCATTTTGCTACCAAATTTTGACCTTGATCTTGGCCAATTTCAACCTTGATTTTGTCCAATTTCCAACCTTCCAGCTAGTCCAAATTTGTTCCAACAGAGTGGACCGAATTTGGACCAATATTGGTCAGCTAGGACCAAATCTGGACCAATTTTGGTCCAAATTGGGAGGCCTTCTTTTGTGATGGCACTACCAGACGGGATGGAGGATGGCCTATACCATCTTCGTGAGCTTTTTCTGGATCGCGTAGCTATCAACCACCTCCCTGCATCCTTCTTCCGTCTTTCATTGCTCGAAATATTAGTCTTGAATGGTCTGCATTGCTTTAGAGGCTGCCTCCCGGAGGGCGGCAACTTTTCACGCCTGAGGGATCTCGCTTTAAATTTCATCCCATATCTGACTTCCCTTTCGACCTCCCTCTCTCGATTACCTCTCACCCTCACCAGCCTGACAGTGCAATACTTCAGTGAGCTAAAAGCGTTGCCAGAAGAGCTGGGAGAGCTAGGAATGCTGGAGGAGCTCCGAATCTCATGTTTAAATGGTCTCG